ATTTCTTCTTTTTAGCAGAATCAGATATACCTTAAATCCATCTAGAATTATAGTGAGAATGTTTGAGAGAATAGTTTTACACTAAACCTGAGATCTTTTATTACAATGCTAAGTAAAATTCTAAATCATTCACCCTAAATAATTATTCAGCTTCTGTTTGAACATCCCACGGTGGGTGTTCATCTCCTAAGTGCACTGTAGAATCTTGACTTTGAACAGCTGTTATTAAGGTTGACTCAGCAATGTGCTTCTTTCTCCTTAGATCCATTACTTCTCAGGAGCCACAGGTGGAACTCTGACATCTCTTCCCAGTACCAACCCTTTAGAATTTGATTATTGCCATTATGGAAATAAATGAAGACTGCCCAAATTAGAATAAGCAGAGGCTATTTAGACAGAATTTCATTTAGTAAAGGCATTAGCTACCATCACTTACATTTACTGAGGCCCCTAAAGGCAAGTAGGGGAAATGTGAAAGTTTTATAAGGAATAAAGAAAAAGGGAAGCTTGAGATACCATTCTAACTCAAAGTTGAGGTGTAGGGAAACCGGAGACAGGTTAACTGGAAACAGACTATCTGTGTGGAGAACACTTTTGCTGTCTCTGGTTGGTTCTAAGGAAATGCAGGTAAAAGAAGGAAATTGTCCGTAATTAACCAAGTCCTAATAAACAATTGGGCCAACTTTTTTCAGATGTTGTGATTTAAATTCTCTGGCTGAATTCCAGTAGAAGATGTGAGTCGATGTTCTAATGTCATATAGCATTATGTCTACCCATTATTGTTTCAATTGTGTATTCAATCTCTCTGTCCCCTCTTTTGGTCATTCTCTCCCTTCCAAGCAATAGGCTAAAAGATAACACTAGAGATCCAGATCTTTCTTCACCACTTGGTGATTGTTCACTTGTCTCCATCGTCAACTGTATCATAAGGATTTTTAGATTTTTAATATTGTACTATCTGATCTTTTTTTTTTTAAAGATTTATTTATTTGTGCATACAGAGCTGGGGTACAGTCCAGAGGCTCAGGGGCGGCGAGAGGCTTCACCAGAGACAGAGTGGGGAGCAGAACAGGCAGATCTACAAAGTACACTGCTGAGGGGAGCAGCAGGCGTGTCAGGAGAGTCTGCCACACCATGTGGTCACCTCTGGGGCAGGCAGGAATCGAACTCATGTGGAAGCGGCTTTAGATTCTCAGTGCTGTGCTTTAACCTGCTGCACCACCAGGGAGGGCCTGGTGAGAGTACTTTTGACCAAGATATCTCTAGGGTTTCTCAAACTTTTATTAATTTATTTTTCAAGAATGTCACTGATTCATTCCACCTTTCCAGAGGCTTGTAGGTAGTAAGAGCAGTATGGTTTCTGAATAAGGGGTAATGACAAATAAAATGCTTTTATGTCTTGCCAAGTGGACCTCACAAGAGGTATATCAAGTGTACCTCAGTACTTGCTATAAAAGTTTATGTTCCCAAGATTGGAAACACAAAATTAAGCAACATTTAGCAATTATAAGGATGGTAATATTTTGGCAACAGGTACTTATCTTGAAAATAAACATATAGTAACACAAATTTTGTGGTTGATGGAGTCATCCATCTGACAGTGTTCAAAGGACCCTTGAAATTGTTTCCATGTACCACATTTATAGTTTTTCTAGAATTATGTTGTTGAGAAAGGCACATGACTAAAAAATTACCTCACATGTTTTTTTTTAAAGTTTCTCCAGATATGTTGATTTAAAATAGTAAGCAATTGATCAGTATCATATGTATTTGTATGAAGAAATTTAGCTAATATTCATTCTAAACTATCTACTGCCACCATGAGGTTGTCTGGAGAGCATCAGAGATTACTTGAGTGACACTAGAACCAATTCTTTCCAGTTTTTTCAGAATGAGAGAATGGATATTGATATTTATATGGTTTCTCGAATTACTTTAAGGATTTATCCTTTAAGAGCTTAGGGAGAATTAACAATCTTGATTAAGACTATGTGTTTGGCAAAATGATCTGCTAGAATATTTCTATGAACATCCATGTACTTTCCCCCTTTGAATTCAACTTTTATAGTAGTTATCTCTATCTGAGAAGGAATTCATGTAAATGTCTTAAATATCTTGTTTATGTCTGATAGCCAATGTAGCAGAATGGAGTAATCCTTTGTTTCCAAGTGTCCTGAAGTTACATTAAAAGAAAAACATATATATTTATTTTTCCGTTGTCTTTGACTAATTGACAGACTATAGCAAATGCAACATTTCTGCTCTTGATGCTGGTTTTAAGACAAGTAGTGCATTGTATTGTAAATTTAAGTCCAAAGTGTTGATAACATTTTGTGCCACATTCATGTTTTGTAGTATGATTTATCAAATAAATAAATTTAAGATAGTAAGCATATTTCTTTTTGTTTTCTTGAAGAAAATTAAATGAGCTACAATGCTTTTCTCTTTAACAGAGAAAAGCAAATCATGAGGTGATGGTATAGCAGGATATTGTAGTAGTGAATAATAATGTGATAAGGAGAGGCTAACAGAATTTTAAAAGTCCACGAGTAAGAAAGAAAGAGAGATGAGAACAAAGGCCAAAGAAGGAAGGTTATTGTGCTCTTGGGCAATACCTACACATGTGTATGGCGAGTGTTGCAATGGTACTGGTGAAAAGCAGACTTTTTATACATTTATGGGGTGGACCACCTTAATGGGGCACTTTGCCCTTATTTGGAGTTGTTTATCCTTGTTTTTGCTCTACTGACTTTTTACGACCCCTTTTTCCTACTGTTCTCAGATCATGCTTAGTCACTGGGCAGGTTTTGGGTCTCTAAGTTTCTGCCCTGGGGTGGTTTTTAATTTCCTGCTGTGCCTCCCTGGGCCTAACAAATTTCATGAGAGGTTTGTTTGTAAACTGAAGGTTCTGTGTTCTCCAGAAGTATAATGCCTATATTGCATGAAGAAATCACTAACAGGGGAGCCTACGCTACTACCAAGCTCATAGTTCTTTATCTTCTCTGAAAAAGAATTTAACCTAGAGGCCAGAGGGCAGACAACCAAAGAAGCTTTAAACTTATGCTTGAGCATAAGGGTGGCAGTGCTTGAAAATAAAATTTCTAGCCTCTTTTCCTGAAGTGAGCCAGGAGGAGATTTTGAAGAGTTTGTTTTTCAGGGTGAGATAGAGGGGAGCAGCATCATAGCAGTGTAGTAGAGTACACTGGGGTGTGTACAGAATGTTTCCATTTTCTTCATACATCACTATCTCACTAATATCTTAAGTCTCCCCCTGGGGTGTGCATTTTCACATACTAATAAGATATTGATGTCTCTAGGTCACATTCTTTCATCATATACCTCATCTAGGAAATTGTGAAATGATTATTTATCAGGATATAACATCTTTTTCTCAAGTTATGGTACCTTTTTTCAGTCTGGTGGGATAGATCAAATAGGGTGTTACAACAAGATGCTAGGCAGTGATCTGTAGCTTATTGCTTGGTCCACCTGTTTAAACAGGATGTTGGGCAACTCTTTTCTGCAAGCTCACAATTTAATTCAGCTAGGTTATCTCATAACTAGTTGAGCAGAAGGACAAAGTTTTGGTGTAGTGATTATTGCCCTAAACTGAGGCATATAAATCTTAGTAATCAGGTCATGGTAATGAGTTTTCCATGAATTTGAGTTAAAGTGTGAAAGCATATCTAAATGGCACCTGTATGACATGATAAGAGGATTTTTAGTTAGTGATTGCTATGGAAGGAATCTGTTGACAAGACTTCTTTAAGTTGTACAAGGTCTGCTCTCAAAGGAAAATTCGACTCCTTTGTTTGCAATGAAGTTAAATCTAGAAACCCTGAATGTTTTGTGAGGGGGGTCAGAGATGCTAGAAATGTCTATAGCATTGTCAGGAAAAAGTAATTCCCCTTTTTATCTAGGTTGTCATCTCAATAATATATTTTTTAAAGATCTATTTATTTATTCATACAGAACTGGGGCACAGGCCAGAAACGTGGAGGATGAGAGGATTCACCAGAGACAGAGTGGGGAGCAGAACAGGCAGATCGACGAAGTATATTGCTGAGGGGAGCAGTGGGCCAGTCAGGAGAGGTCTGCTGCACCATGTGGATCTCCTCCGGGGCAGGAGGGGATCGAACTCATGTGGAAGTGGCTTTAGCTTCTTAGTGCTGTGCTTTAACCTGCTGTGCCACCAGGGAGGGCCCATCTCAATAATATTTTGTTTTAGCAAAATCACACCTTACCGTTTGAGATTTTATGTCCCTCTTTTGCTAAGACTGGAAGAGAAAGTGAGTGAATTTTTGTTTTATGATTCATTTCCTCTGAATAAAATAAGAGATAATATACGTATTATATGACTACATGAGCGCTGACTTACATAGGAAGTCGATCTTTCAAACCTTAGGACCTTGGATAGGACCTTGGTGGATTCAGTGAACGTGGGGACATGACTATCCAATGTACTATTGTCCTCCTTAGGTGAATACAAAAAAGCTTTAGAGTGAAAAAGAGCTTCATATATGTCTGATGGGAGTTTGTTGATGGATAAACTGAAGACAGGCTAATTAGAAGTGAATAATCTAATGCAATTTCGTGCAGAAGCCTATTTATGTTTCTCTGGTTAGTTGAGCCTGAGATGGAAGCAAAGACAAAAATAGGGAGGCTGATAGTCATTGAATAAGCTCTGACAAATTTGAGGCAATTGCTGCAGAGACTGTGATTTAGTTTCCCTGGATGGCTAAAGTAGAGGTTGTTGATAAATGCCTTGTAGTCATATGCTGGATGCCTGTTGTCCAAACTGATTCAGTCTTTCACCATTTTGCTTCTGTAAATCTCCTCATATATTTGTTTCTCATTATGTCTAGAAGTGATCTGAGAAATAATTGATGTGTGAGGTCAGATTTTTGCAAAGTACAAATAGGTTTTGTTAAATACTACTAGCTCTTCTCCTTTAATCTATTTGAATTAATTTTTCTCTCCAATTGCTTATGTTGTTACAGAGGACCTTGATGATTTAAGAATGGAGGGAGTAACTACCCTGGTACCTTCTGGGAGCAAATTTAACCAAGGCCGTGCTACTTACTCTGCTGAACCTCAGGCCAAGGTCACATTGAACATCTGCTCAAGGTGTGCCAGGTAAAACAAATAATTGGTTAGTGTTACCAAGATTGGTTAACCTTTATTTTAAAATTCTAAGATTTTAATGCAAAGGGTGTACTGATCTTTGTTAAGGAAATCTTTTCGTTCTGGTTATCTTTTGTGCTAACATTGGCAATGCATAGTTCTACATTTTATCCTTCTGCCCTGTGCCATTCACACCAACAATGAATCAAAGAGTTCAGATTTTCTTCACTTCACAGTTTGAGACTATTTTAAGTCTTTCAGTCTCTGAATTTCATTTGCTGACTGCCCTTCTGTTACCTTTCAAAGGAAGATTCAAGGGGCTCTAAAAAGTTCAAAGCCACTTTTAAAATACCTGCATAAAGGGTAAGTTTGCCCAGGTATAGTTTAAAATCTGATATTATTGGCTTCTTAACCTGTTCCTGATCCTATTCACCTCCTGGAAAGAATTTAATCAGTTTGATACTTTTCAAATTTGGCAGCTGGAAGCTATCTGCATATACTCTCTGAGGCCAAAGAAGTAGTTTAAGTTACTGCCAAGTCACCCCCAGTGTTAGTCTAGCAGAAACTCACCAAATAGCTAGAATGCATTCTTTTGTAGAAACTAAATCTCATTTGCAAAGAGGTTTTTAAGCCAGTTTAAATGATAAAACAAGTCTTCTAACCCTTATGTAAATGGTGCAGATTAGTAAGAACAATATACTGGCTGGCCAGTTTTATCTCCTTTTCTTTATGTCTAGCTGTTCTATTGTACTGTTTTGAGAGGGGATTAACTACTTGGAAATAGGGTGGGGTGGGGATAAGTATAGAAGATCAAATCAGATCTTTGTTGCTTTTTTTCTGTTTTATTCTAACCTTTTGGAATTTACTTTGCCATCATCTTAGAAAAATAGAAAGGATACCTCTTAAAAAAATCAAGGAGTATTATTTGAGACCACTAAGAAAATGATATAGCAGAGTGAAAAATATGAAGAAAACTTCTAATATTTATGTGATCCTGGATGTAAAAGGTCATCTATATAATAATTGTTTGGCAATTAAAAAAAAAAAACTGTGATATATTTGTACATTTACAATTTGACTGGAGAAGGGTTGGTGCTTGACCCTTCCTATCATTAGTAGAAGAGTTGTTTTTCAAAAGGGAAAGCCTATGAAAAATGGTATGTTTTAGTAAGTTATTGAAGATTTAAATTGGGAAAAGATCAAACATATGCATAGAGCTAAATCATCTGCCATTCAGTTCCCAATGAGAGAGTTAGATAAAAAAGATGCAGTCAACCTTTATTTAAGGTTCTTCCTTAATTGAATTTGTTGAAGAGATATTCAGTTGACTAATAATCGTGTTGCTTGCATTTTCACTGTGTATCACATGCTACTGAAGTACATAAAATACACAGACTGATTTAACATACAGACCATAGTAACATAGTCAATAGGTGACAAATCAGTTTAAACTCAGATCGTAGATCTTAACAGTCTACCTACTTTGTCATTTTGTTTTATTTCTAAGAATAAGACTGTTTCCTAAAAACTATGATGAGGCCTAAAATAGATAGCAGCAATGGGATGAAAGTTGTATAGGTGTTTGATATCATGGGAGTTCATGATTGCTTTGATGGAAAATAAAGCAGTGTTGTATTTCCTAAACAAAATAGATATACAGTGATTCTGTGCAATTGTAGAAAACAGTGTGCAGCTACTATAGTCAGAAAAAACCTAACAAGTTGTCAAGAAACATGAGAAAACTGAGATTTTGCCTTATTTGCAACACAGCATGTTATTCTATCACTATTTCATTGATTTCAGAAGACACAAAAATCTTGGGTCAGAGACCAAAACTTTAATATAACAATAATAGAGTATTATCATTTTTACTGTTTCAGTGAGTCATAGTTTTTACCATAATGTAAATGCAGCAGTAGGTTGCAGTACAAAAAGGAACCCCAAGTTTAGGGAATTCCTAGATATTTTATAGTGATTAGTGAGCATGTATAATCACTGTGTTAGGGGAGATTCCATCTCTTATTCCAAGGTTGTTGTGTACAGATTGTGTAAAACAATACTGTCAATGTTCATGCTGATAATATATGCAGAAATAGCACTGAATCTTGGAGAATTGCCCCCAATAACACTTAAGGTAATTCACTTTTGTGATTTTTTGATGTAGTCATGAAAGTTTTCTACAATTAATTTTCAAATATCAGGTTTTATTGCTGAATCATCTCTTTGAGTTGAAATTAAGGCTGAGGATTATAATTTTTAAGCTTTGGTTAAGTAATTATCTAAGGCAGAAATTATAAACTATAGAACTGTGAACAATAGATGGTTGTTTGTGCATCTATGTAATTTTGAAAGAAACTCTGGATGAATTACCAGTTTTCTATAAAGATTGCAGTTGATTTTTACTTTCTCTTTAACTCTGTGAAGGTGATAACTCGGCCCATGTTCTAAAATGACTACCCAGTAGCAGCATTAATCTCTCAATCCTGAGACTTCATAGTTGTGCTCTAATTCACTTCAGTTTGTCTGCCCAGCTTTGTTCATTTACACTACCTCTCTGAAATCTGTAGCCTTTGAAACTCTGGATTTTAGAAATGATAGAACTCCAAGGATAAACAGTGGTTTAGGACTGGAGGAATCCAGGAAACTGGCCAGAGCACAGGGAGACAAATATGGTGCCAAGAGGCAGATCCTTCTGTCTCAGGGTGTCAGGCTATAAACAGGAGTTTGAGGTAGGCAGATTGAGGCCTTAGTGTGACTAAGCAAACATCACAACACAGAGTGGGATGATTAGAAACTCTGTACTGCGAGTTAGACAACATTGGTAATATTTACTGTTTTGACAATCGTGATTATGTCCATTGTTCTATCAGTGGGCATTGCTATTCAGTCTGGAAGAGACACATGGACCTCACAGAGGAAACCCAGGCACTGGATTTTCACGCGGGGTCAGGACTTAATATCAAGTCTCATTGAGTTGGAAACTGTATGGTGCTAACAGATAAAATTTAGGATAATTAATGTGATGTTAATTACTATACATTAACACTTACTCCACCATGTTCTTCTGAGACAAGATGAAAACAATTAAATTCAGACTTATTAGTGAAAGAAAACACAACCTCTAATTACCTAGATATGGTGAATTTATAGAGCTGTAAATCCTACAGTAAATGGGAAAAACTGGGAGTTTATATTCTGAACTAAGGGGCCTGAGGTGTGAAGGAGAGAGAAATGGGTCTCACGTGATAAGGAGATGATTTTACGACAAAACTGCCTCTAGATGTGTAATCTTCCTTAAGATAGTTATTGCCATAAAAAAACTTATTCTGGAGTGTCCCTAAATCCAAGTAATCTACATTCTTTATATTTGTGGTAACAGTGTCTCCTGAGTCTTAGAGGTCTCTGTGACATTAGTGACATAAACCAAGGTGACATGTATTGAAAAGGCCTACTCTGGATACTGGACAAATACTAGCTGAACCTTTTTCAAGAGCCCAACTGCACATGGGGCTCTAAGAAGCATTCTCTGAGAATGAAGGAGATATTCCCACTTTTTAAAACATCAGGAAAAGTGGAATTCTGCCACGTTAAATATTCTGTAAAGTCTATGTGAAGAATGTCAAAAACTATTAATTAACATAGTGATGAGAAATAAAAAGATATTACATTTTTTCATAAATATTTCACACATTGTCAGAGAAGTGTGAATAGAAGAAAGCTTGCATTTTCAAGCTGGAAATTATCTTAGGTTATTCCCATGACTATAGCCTTATTCTGCTGTGGGCATTGCCGGAATCTGTGATATAAACAGAGGGGCAAGTACCTCATTTGGCAAGTGAAAATGGTAGAGGAAGTACCATGTTCCTGGCCCCCACTGACTTAGAGCCTTGGAATAGCTGTTAGGAAACATGGGTGGAGCTGAGTGACTAAGTGAAGTTACACAATATGGAAGGCAGGTGGTTTTACAGCCCCTCATATTCCTGTGGCCAACTTGTACTCTGGGACTATTGGGAAGGAGACACCTGAAAGAGACTTGTAGAGATACTTGAAAGGGACATATGGCTGAGAGACATGTGGAGAGGCTGATAATGGCAGCTGTCATCCTCATGCCTTATTCTTTTTGTCCTAACTTTTTTCTTTTTAAGATTTATTTACTTATGCATACAATGGGGTTCAGGGCAGAGGTTCAGGGGTGGTGAGAGTATTCACCAGAGACAGAGTGGGGAGCAGAACAGGCTGATTGATAAAGTGCACTGCTGAGGGGAGCAGTGGGTGAGACAGAAGAGGTCTGTTGAGCTGTGTGGGTCACCTCTGGAGCTAGGGATTGAATTGGCACTGAAGCTGCTGCCACTAGCTTGCAGTGCTGCGCTTTAACCTACTGTGCCACCAGGCAGGGCCTTTGTCCTAACGTTTTGAGATCTGCTTCAGAACTCCTTTTTTCCCACCAGAAGATTTGTGGTAAGCTTTTGGGCCTCAGCAAACTAGGTTAGTCTACCGTTTGGACATTTACCCAGAAGAGCATAGGTAATGTTTGGTGTTTTATTGAAAATAGTAATATCTGGCCCTCCCCGGTGGCACAACAGGTTAGGACACAGGATGCAGAGCTTCAGTATGAGTTGGGTCCAGGGTACTGGAGGTGACCCACATGGCGCAGCAGACCGGCACAGCAGTCAGGTGCAGCAGACCTCTTCTTTCTTCCCTGCTGCTCCGTTTTGCGTTTTCTTCGTTTTGCTTTTTTTTGCCCCCTGCTCTGTCTCTGGTGTCTCCATTCACCTCCTGCACATTTTACCTGTACCCCAGTTCTGTATGCATAAATAAATAAATCTTTAAAAAAAAAGAAATTAGTAATATCCTCTTTCCCCTCTCTATGCACTTTAATTATATTGAAGGTCTTTTACACTAAAAATATGCTACCTTTATGTGGCAGATGGCAGGACATGTTTAAAACATGCACCCTGTTTGTTTGGGGTCCTTGGGTACCATTCATCCATGTGGTGAAAGCATATATTTAA